TGAACCAGATGTTTCAGTATCATTATTCTTCCTTGTTCTTTTTCTCTCTTTACTATTTCCTCTTTACCTAGAAAGTTTCACTGACCATAGGAGTGATTTGGTATGGAAGCCAAAAGCTGAGTTCATAACACCCAGTAAAATACCCACACTTCTCAAGAAACAGAAATTAACTTTTTACCTTCCAGATCTGATCGTGATTTCTACTCATCATCAAAATACTTCTCAAGGGCAGTCTATGAATCAAATGAATTACAGAGCCTGTGTCGTTATAATGGGTTACAATGTTTCTGACAAATCCTCTCTCACAGTTTGTAAGCCATTATTGGTTTTGATAATCCCAAAATTCTGAAACTGAAATCAGTTTTCTTATCACACTCTCTTACCTTAAAAATACAAAAGCCATAAATAGCAAGGAATGATTGATTGTACCAAGAATAACGTTTTTAGGCTACACTGCAGCAGATCACCAAAATCAAAACCAGGGTTAGTTTGAAATCACTCTTTAGCAGAGAGAACTTTTTTAAAAAGAATCCAGAAAATGCACAAAAAGAAATCCCAGAGTGCATAAAAATCTTGCACCTCCCTGAGATAATTTCTGGGATAATTGTATCCAAAGGAGAGGAGAAGGGCAGCTATGCCCAGCTGAGAGCAGCAGCTCCTGGGCTTTTGACAGACCACATTAAATCAGCAGGATGACTGCTTTGTCCTGGATAGCCAGGCACTCTGACCGACTGATTCATTCAGGGATAGCAAGTTTAGCACCGAATCTTGCCATCACTTTTAAACATTTTCCTAACAGACACCTAAAACTCCCCAAAACAAAACCATTGGAGAAGACAAAGGGCTCACGGGTTCCTTGCATGTCTGTTTGCTGCTCCAGCAGACTGTGAGCACACCAGGACTAACCTCTGTTCCTTGTGATAATCCTGTAACGAGAAATGACTGCAAGGGGCCCTACAAATATTTTGGTGCTGTTAGTCCTTGAACCATACCTGGGTTGGTAACGTATCCCTGAGACACTGCAAATACACCATCATTGTGCCTGGGCATGGACAATGCTCAGCTCCTAATGGGAGGAACACGCTGAGAGCATGTTGGTGCGTTTAGACCTTTTAGTTTTCAGCTGTCAGATGGGAATCCATTCAACAGATGAGTCAGCGAGAGTGGAAGATCAAGGCCTTTGAGAGGTCTCTCTTGATTCTTACAATTGCAAGCACCTTCATGTTTTCTCTAGGTGGGTGTTGGGTGTGACTGCAGTTGGACACTTTGGGAAGTAAAGCCTTACACCTTTTAAAGAAAAGCTCTTGCCCATCTGAGCTGATGAAAATATCCAGAATATTAATTACTCAATACACAAGAGTGACTCCTTGCAGAAATGACTGTCTGCCAGCTCACTACACATTCTCCTACTACCAGGATGATAAAGCTGTCTTTTAATTGTCCGAAATATGGATTAACACATATCTTGTTATAGAATGTTTCTAAAGCAGGAAGATTTTTTTAAATTAAATGTATTTTGGACCATTCCTGTGGTTTGTTTGCTTTCTAGACAACACTCATCCTGAGCAATACAAATAGATAGTTATACTCTCAAGTCTTTTTTTACCACACTTTGTTTTCCATGTTTACAGTGTATTTCCCTTCAATTTAACTTTTTAGATATGAGGCACCACTCTAATTCTGAAATGTACATCCAAACACTTGTTTCCACTGCAAACAAAAAGAAACCATCAAAGTCCTGGGATCCTCCCATTTGGCTTTTAATAGTCTGTATTACTCATGTAAAAAGAGCACCATTTCAGTTTAGTCATTATGTCCAAGTATACAGGTACAAGACTGCCAGAAAAAGCTAAATATACCTTCCATCAGGGTGTCACTTATACAGAAGCACTTTGCTACTCCAGCACACAAAGAATTAAAATTAACCTGAGTTACAACAAGCTGGGTTAAGCACAGAGTAGACGCTACCTCCCAATGCTCACTTCCCCAAAGCTGCTGCTGCTGCCAGTGTCTCGTGCTACCACACATCAAACCTTTTTCTCTGGCAGCCTCTTCCAATTCCTTGTCAAACAAGTTTAGAGAGGGAATTGCTGCCGGAGAGTTTCAGTGTTCACAAAAGACCCGCTCACACAAACTGTAGATCTGATTAAAGTGGCACCATCCCTCCTTTGACAGACTTCACCACTCCTTTGCTCTGCTCATTCTCACCATCAGTTCACTTCTGTCCTGCCCCATATTTGGGGAGGCTTTACTCTCCATCAAGCATCTTGCAAGAACAAAAACTCATTCACAAAAACAAAAACCAACAAAAAAGCCAAGTCATAAATTCAGGTTAGGGCACTGTTAGAAAAAAGAATAAAATCAATGGGGATGATAACAAATAGGTGTGATAACCACTTAACCTGTCTGAGGTAGCAGTTCAGCTGGCTGTGTCCTGGTGGTGCCCAGCCTATCTGCACAGCTCAGGAGATAGCTAACCTGCATTAGGTTACAGCACAGCTCTTTTGTTTACCGTCAGCTCTCTACTTGTCTTTCTAAGGCTCCTGTTTTCCTGGTTGTTAAATAGAAAAAGGAAATAGAGCAATTGTGTAACACCTTTCTTTTTTTAACCTGAGACAGAAACTGCTTTTATTAGAAACTCTATGTCTGGTGAAAAACAGCCCTTTCTGGGTTTTCCTGTGCTTGTAGAAGATACAGATTTCTCCAGGCCATATCTACTGCCCTACATTTTTCTCACAGATCTCTGCATTTTCTGCCTTCAGTCAAGGATGCAGGACAGAACTTTTTTCCTCGAGTGAAATATTAGCACCACAAAAATCAAATTATGAAATGCCCATTGACCCCAACATCTCTTGTTATTAGAACTTTCCTCAAGCATGGTCCAGTATATTTAGATCTGCCACTTGTCCCAGCGTCTTATACTTATCCGGACGTTGCCACCTTTCTGTTCTTCTTTCCAGCCTTAAAACAGAGCAAGTGCCTTCTGTTTTGCAGACTTTCTCCTGGATAACCCTTCCTCTTTATCTGCCCATATTAATATCCTGTTCTTCTAAATTTCATGGTCCAAAAAATTTTTCACATCTTCTTATTTCTCTTACATGCTCCTATTTTTCAACTTTTAGCTCCTCTCTTGCTTAGATGTTCTTCTCTTCTTTATTTTTCAACTTCTAAGCTGTATCATTTTATACTCTGGTTACATGCTTTATTAGACAACTTTTTAGACTTTTAATTAAATTAATGGCACCTTTCCAAAACATCAAGAATTGCAATGTTTCAACTTAAATGGAAAGTCTCCAGGAAGATACCAATTAATTCTTTTGCTCTGGCTCTGCAAATTATGAGTTTTATGGGAGAGTTTCTATGCGATTCTGTAAGATGCATTATGCAGGAAGTCACATTACTAAAAATGTTCTTTCTGGAGTTATAAATCTTCAGGTGATGGCAGAGATCAATTGAATGCAGTACAAATTTTTTTTCCAGTAACTTATGGATCCAGAACTTCACACAATGAATCTGGGCAATGACCTTCACTTTAACAGCTGATGTAGTCAAAGAATCATATATCACAAACATCAGTATCAGCCTCAATAAAATAGTGCAGGCACTAAAACATATCAGTAGTTAAAGGTTTGCATTCCAGAATACATTTGTGATGACAGGCCACCAAAAAAATCCCACTATCCTGTTTTTTAGCCCACAAACATCTCCATTAAACTCATTTTGGTAGAAACAACTTGTAGAGGAAAGGTATCAGGATGTACGGACCCATGCAGGTCCATTTTAATATATTAAGCTATACTGGGCAGTTACAAACCAGGAATTCTTGTAAAATCAGTTTGCTAGGGAAAAAGACATGGGTGATGGCTCAGTCAGGAAGGCTGCACCTGAACTGACTGGGTTTGGAAGATACACCAAGAAGTCACGTATACACATAATAGATGTGGCTGACATTTCAACTTACAGCCCAAAATATCCATCAGGGAGGACAAAACAATTACATACTCTCAACTTGACAGAAGGGAGGGGCTGGAATATTTTTTTTCCCAGTCATTCAGTACTCTGTTTGCAAAGGGCCTGATAAAACTCACGCATATTAATAATAATCCTATTGATTTACAGGGATGGTTTAGGCTCAGAGAGACCAAACACCTGTATTTTATATGGCCATAGAGGATTTCAGCCTCCATGCACAGAAAGGCTTTGAAACATGCTCTGAGCATCAAAAAATCTGAGCTCTTCACTGGGACAGAGTTTGCATGAAGTTTGCTATTAATAAGGTTATATATGCAACGGGTTTGAACTGTGCCACTGATTTTACTGGTAAGATTTTCATAGCCCAAGACCAACAGATGTACCCAATTTGAAACATTCTGAAATCCTACTCTATAACAGGTGTAGTTATTTTTCTATATATTCATTAAATCAGTTTCTGTTCTCAGTTGCCCTTGTATAAAATCAGAATGAGCTTCAGGCTGAGGAAACTGAGAGTAAAAATTGATTTAGTTTTCAATTTTTTAGAAAAAAAAAAAAAAAAAGTATTGCAGGAAATGATCAGAAGACTGTCAGCTAATCTCAATCATTTTTGGTTTATAACCTTTTAGTGTTTCAGACCTATCAACCTCTGCCAAGGTACCAAACATGGTACCTCTCAGCTCTTCATGATCTCTTCCCAAAAATGGAGAAGAAAGTCAAGATTCTTAGTGAAAAACCTGGTAGCCTAAAGTTAGGACACAGTACATTGCAGGCAGCAGGCTAAGAATAACAGGACAAACTCATGAGGAGAGAAATAACAATAAAATACAGGAACTCTGACTCTCCCTCTGCAACATTACCTAATTCTAATGTCACGAAGAAGAAAGCAGTGTGAACGTGTGTGCAAGAGATAACAGGCTGTCAAAGCACCGCTTCCGCTCAGCGCCAGAAAATTAAAGTTTGATTATTCACTAGAAGCCGAGCTGATCCGAGAGTCACACCAGTGTCCAGTTCACTGTGCAACTTACCTTCACAAAGAGCTCAATTTCAGGGTCCTTTCCTTCCCCATTAGCAGGAATAGAGTCTGTCATTTTTCACCCCCAAGGCTACCAGCTGATCTCCTGCTATTAAGTGGCAAAAGGAGGTTTCAACTGCACAGCGGGTGGGTTTCCCTTCCCAACAGCTCTCCCAAAGCTCTTAAAACATCATTTGTAACGATAAAGCTTGAAAGGAGTAGACAAAAGAAGTTTGAAGGTTGATAAATAAATAATAATAATTTTTTAAAAGGCAGGCAGCAGAAGAGCAGTCCCTGTTACGGTTGTGTAGTTCTTCAGAGCAACAAGTGCTGCTGTGCTCTGGTACTGTATCCTGATCTGTCAGAGCTGCAGTTCTCACTGCCTGCCCAAAATAGCCCAGAGCATAAAAAAAGAGGGTGGGGTTAACTCACAGGGGAGGAGACAAGCTCCTGGTACCTACGGCAGGATCAGTCTCTGAGCAAATAGTTCTGCTCTTCCCCGTTTTCAGCATTTCTCTTGTTCCCTCCCTTATCCTACAGCTGGGAGCACCAGTGATGGGAAGAGGGAAGGTCCACAGCAGGCTGGTTTCATTGCTTTAAGCAACAGTGATGGGTTTTTTCCTTCTTTTTCTGAAAGGTGTTTGTCCTGTTTGCAGCTGTTCAAAATCCTAATCTTGTTATTGCTAAGGATGGGGAGGAAAAAGAGCCTCATTTCTTCACCCTGTGCATTGTTGCATCGGTGCAAGGAGTGCACAGAAAAACAGAGCTCTGCCTCGGCAAAAACTCCTGCGTGTGGTACAGAAGCTGAAACTGAATACTCTTAGGTGAGAAAAGGACCCATGGAGTCACCACTCCTGATGGAGTTCAGGAGCAGAGGAATGGGAATGGGGTTACAAAGGAGAACAAAGAGCTTTAGAGCCCTGGAAAATAAAATATTTGGGTCCCATAACTATTTTTCAGTGTGTCTCTTTGGGTGCTGGTTGTAGAGTGGGGACAGTGATGAGACGCTGGGGTGGAGTATGGAAGAAAACTTTCAAGGGCCTCAGCTTGCTATTGACATACTGTCGTCATCTATACTCCCTTCCTTCACCCTGCATTCCTTGCATGACTCAGAGGTCACCACGCAGCCACCCTAAGCGAGAGGTGGCACAGGACAGAAAGGCCTGATGCAGCTAAAAGGCGTGGAGGAAGGGGGAGCTGGCATGGGAAAGGAGAGCAGACAAAGGCAAAGGAGTTGGGTAGGACCTCCTCCTCATCACCATAATTGCCTGGAGGGACAAGTCTGAACATGAGCCAGCAGTGTGCCCAGGTGGCTAAGAGGGCCAGTAGTATCCTGGACTGTATCAGCAATAGTGTGGTCAGCAGGACAAGGGATGAGATTGTCCCTCTGTACTGGGCACTGGTGAGGCTGTACCTTGAGGGCTGGGTTCAGTGTTGGGCCCCTCACTTCAAGAAGGACATGGAGATGCTGGAGTGTGTCCAGAGAAGGGCAACGGAGCTGGGGAAGGGTCTGGAGAACAAGTCTTATGAGGAGGAGCTGAGAGAACTGGGGTTGTTTAGTCTGGAGAAAAGGAGGCTGAGGGGAGACCTTCTCGCTCTCTACAACTACCTGAAAGGAGGGTGTAGAGAGGTGGGGGTCGGTCTGTTCAACCAAGTAACAAGTGACAGGACAAGAGGAAATGGCCTCAAGTTGTGCCAAGGGAGGTTTAGATTGGATATTAGAAAGAAATAATTTACTGAAAGGGTTACCAGGTATTGGAACAGGCTGCACAGAGAAGTGGTGGACTTCCCATCCCTGGAGGTATTTAAAAGACATGTAGAGGTGGTGCTTAGGGACATGGTTTAGTGGGCATGGTGTTATTGGGTTGGCAGTTGGACTTGATGATCTTAGAGGTCTTTTCCAACCTTAATGATTCTATGATTCTGTGACTGGCTGCCTTTGTGCCCTCCTGCCCTGGGAAAGTCCCTTCTTTCACCTCTGCTCCTGTTTTGGGACCAGCACAGATCTGGCTCACAGGATATCAGCAGCTCATGCTGCCAGACATAAGCAGTTTTACCTTCCCTGACTGACACAGAGAGGCCTTTTGGGCATGGTTTTGACATGATCAGACACTAGCCTTTCCTGGAAGTGCTCTTAGGTGTGTGCTTTCATGGTGATCTTTAATTCCCTCCCGTGACCTCTAGGCATTTGTCACGGGTCCAGAGCAGTAGCAGCCAACATCTCCATGGCTCTCTGAGTAATCTCTGTGGGGTTTTCCCACAACAGCTGTTTCGTGTGCATTCCATGAAGCACTGAAATGGTTAACAAGTAAATCTCATTATGCTGTTGCAACTGTAATTACAACATAATCAATGTTATAATTAGTGTAAAAGTGTGCTTATGGTTTTTAGATCTAATTAGCACTCATTCAAATAACTGGAAGGTTAACTATAAGAGAATTAAGTGTTATTACTCCTTTGATTTCAAATTTTTACATGTAATTTTTGGACTAGGTACATTAATTACCAAACATTTATAGTATAATTATTCTTAGGCCTACAGGCAAACTTCCAAGGACATGGACTAAGTGTACTTACATGTAGCAAAAAGAATCATTGCATTGTGGTTATATATTACAGTTATAAAAGTCTGACAACAACATAAGTATAGTCACCGTATCTCTAAAATGCATCCTGCACCCACAATGCAATTCTGAGAGACTTAAAGAACCCATCACTATTCAGACTGCTCAGAGCTGAATTACAGAATCACACAGAATGTGAGGGATTGGAAGGGACCTCAAAAGATCATCTAGTCCAACCCATCTGCCAGAGCAGCATCACCTACAGTGGGTCACACAGGAACGTGTCCAGGCAGGTTTGAATTTCTCCAGAGAAGGAGACTCCACAACCTCCCTGGGCAGCCTGTTGCAGTGTCCTGTCACTCTCACAGTGAAAAAGTTTTTCCTTATGTTTGCATGGAACCTCCTATGCTCCAGCTTGCACCCATTGCCCCTTGTCCTACCGTTGGACATCACTGAGAAGAGCCTGGCTCCATCCTCCTGACATTCACCCTTTACATATTTATAAACACCAACAAGGTCTCCCCTCAGTCTCCTCTTCTCCAAGCTAAAGAGCCCCAGCTCCCTCAGCCTTTCCTCATCAGGGAGATGCTCCACTCCCTTAATCATCTTGGTGGCTCTGTGCTGGACTCTCTCAAGCAGTTAATTATACACTAAGATTTACTTTCAATCTTAAGCTAAGATCTTCTTTAAGACTTGTCACCACTGTCTTTCACTTTAGGAGGTGTTATTTCCCTAAATTACACATTATCAACTACATGGTCATAAGTTTTTTGTTTTGCTGAAAAAAAATATTTTGGTTTAGCACCTCATGTGATTACCTGATTTCCCTTTAATAAGGACTCCTAGAAACAACGGGAAATTGGTCAACTTGAGTGAGGTTACCTGTAGATCCAGCCTCATTGAAAACCCTGTTCTGATATAGGGCAAGGGCTTTAAACAATTTAGATCACAGGAGCATATATATCAGGTCTGAAAAAGAAAATACTGGCAGCTACAGGAACAGTGAGGAGGTAATACCACTAATGCTAAACCAAAATGCTCAAATAAAATCAGCTTTCAAGTTACCGGCACTTATAAGATGTGATGCATGTGACCTATTTAGACGTCTATTTTAGAATGAAAAAATGTGCCCTAGAAGTGTCTACTTCTTTCCACTGGTAATAAAGAGGGCCCAAGGTAACAACCTCAGATAAAGACATTAGAATGGTCAGACAAATCCTGCTGTAATTATTAAGTAATAGAAATCTGTCGCTTTAGTGCCTGCTTGCCTATGCACGTGTCATCTCCCACTGCAGAAGCTGTGCACGCCTTGCACTCCTGAAATTTAAACTCTAGATGTAGCAATTTTGGTAGAGACTCAACGTGTCAAAACATTTAAATCCTGCCTTCCCAATTACTGTCTGGGTTTAGTGGTGTATTATAATTAGTTTGCAAGATGATTATTGTGCTGAGGCTCAGCAAAATAGCAGGGAAACTGGGCAATGCAGAGAAAGGGAGCTAAGGTGCCCTGAAGTGGTTTCCATCTTGACCCAGATATAAACTGGATGAGAGTAGATTTAGATGAGATATTACGAAGAAATTCTTCACTGTGAGGGTGGTGAGACACTGGAACAGGTTGCCCAGAGAAGCTGTGGCTGCTCCTCCCTGGAAGTGTTCAAGGCCAGGCTGGATGATGCTTTGAGCAACCTGCTCTAGTGGAAGGTGCCCTGTTGATGGCAGGGGGCTTTGAACTATATGATCTTTAAGGTCCCTTCCAACCCAAACCATTCTATGATTCTATGACACTGCAGGAATGGGCCAGACCCCATCTGGTTCAAGATGCTTCTAGGGAATAGTGCCCTGGAAGGTCCCTTCCCCCTCTGCTTTCACCCATGAGACACCACCTTACCCTCATCCCCTGCCCCAGGATTTGATATGGTGTGCTCAGAGGCTACAGAGGCTGTAGTGTGAATACCACACATCTGGTATCCCAGCTGTGCTTTTAGATATCTATGGAGAGAATAACCCAGCCCACCTCAAAAAAACTCTGATTTTCAAAAATGGTTCAAATGGAACCCCTCAAAGAGATTGAGGAAAACAGAATCCTTGTTCATATAAATGCAGTGGTTTTTAAAATAGATTCTGAAAGCTTGATTTAAGATAAACATTGTAGGAGGCAATAAGTAGGAGCGTGGTGGTTTAACCCAGAGGAAAAAAAAAAAATTAAAAAAAATATATGTACTACTTCAGGAATCTATTTATGTGTTTACTGCTTTGCTGTCATATAAAACTGACTTATCACTTACATCTGGGTGGAACCTTTTTGACTATAATGGTTATTATTGTCTACACGGCTCTGTTTTGTGTTTTCAAATCAGCTCTTTCTTCAGCCAAATTAAGGGTAAGATACTGATAAATAATTAGTACACTCTCATTTTACTGCAAAGAATGAGTTGCTTAGTTTGGCCTATCATTTTCTCACAAGCCAGAAGCAGCAGAGGCTTTGAGTTACGTACAAGAACATTAGACATTG